ATTTATACGTGGTTATTGTGTGGATTATGTGAAAGATGCATGTCTGATTTAGAAATGCATGAACCATATATGTGAAATGTGAATATGATAYTGTGCATGCATATGAAAAGGTGATATGATGCATATATGTGATGTGGTGCATACATGGTATTTAATTATTTATAATGTGAAGACGTGTTATCTTCATGGTGAAGCAAAGTCTAAATTTTCTAATACAATACAACCACCACAGCTTGAGAGAGAGATTTATAATATTGAAAACACTCACCGCCTTAGTGAGTACATAAAAAGGAGAACAAAAGATAAGGATTATCTTATCTTTATTTTTCTTTTTGACAAAGCTTTTGAGAGGAAAAAGGAGTGTTTGCGTGGTGGTGGAAGTGTTCTTGAGAAGAGTTTTGCACAAAAGTGATTTAAAGATTTGTTGTGTTATTATCTACAAAATCTGTGTGGTTAAAGTGAGTTTTAAACCACCATTGATTATAAACTGTGAGTTTTAAAATTTCTATTGATATGAACTGTTAGGTTTTTATGAATCTGGGTTTTTAACAAATCTGGTGGATACTGTTTTATAAACAGATTGAACAAGGTATTTATGATTTTGGATTAAAAACTGTTTTGGAAAGATGAAACGGTTACTATGCTTTAAAAACATATTCGAGAAATAAGATTCTGTTATGAAAGGATTTAAAGGGAGTTTGATGTTTGGAAATCATGGAAAGAATAAGTTGTTCTTGATTTTGAAGGTTTTGATGATAAAACTATTTTGAAACTATTATTGGTTGAAAATTATAGAGAATATTCCTTCGAGACGGTTGTGACTCTGATCTGTCTTCGTTGGGATTTATCTATAGATTTTATGGATAAAACTATGAATGAGGATTCGATAAGATGGTTGTAACTGCGATCCTTCATCCGAACTAGTTCATGGATTTTGAAGAAGAAATAAGGATGGCATATCGAGGAGAGGTGTCTTTTGGGATAAGGGTGGCATATCAAGAAGAGGTGTACCATTGGATATAAGGGTGGCAATGGTGTGTGGATATTATAGCTCTTGCTATTATGTCTTTTAAGACTACAATAGATTAGAGTTCTTACTTCTTTGTGATTTGAGAACTCAAAGCTATTGTTCTTATTAGAAATGATAGTATTGATGTTATGAAGAAGGTTAAAACTTGGCTTATGGCTATCGGTTTTAATTAAAAGTGTTTTGGAACAGAATGCTCATTTTATGAGGAATCAGAGGGGCTTTGGTTGTTCCTTGTAAGGAACCAGAGGGGCTCTGGTTGTTCCTCACTATAGAACCAGAGGGTTCTGGATATTGATTTGAGAAAAATGCACATGTATTAGTAGGACCAGAGGCTCTGTATCTAATGATAAGAGCTCTTGTGTCAAAGTCATATTTTTAAGAAGTTTTTAAGAAAAGGATTTTTATACTTAGTTTTTCTTACAAAAATACAGACCAGAAGGGCTCTGGTTGGCTTACACATTGAACTAGAGGCTCTGGTTGGTCTTGTCTTTAAACCAGAAGCTCTGGTTAGTACAACCAGAAGCTCTGGTCCTACATGAATTCTTTTTTTATCATTTTAGTTATGGAAAAATCTATTTTTATTACTTACAAAGTTAGTTGAGGGACATTATGAGAAATTACCTGAGCAAGAGGCTCTGGTTAGTACAACCAGAGGCGCTGGTCGAGGAACCAGAGGGGCTCTGGTCCTCTTATATGCTTTTCTAAGTATGGTCTTTGGAACCAGAGGTCCGATGGACTCAAACAGAATATTTTCTAAGTGTGTTCTTAGAAACCAAAGGTCCGATGGACTCAAACAGAATGTGGTTTTTATTCTTCATTATATGAAATGGTCTAAATATTTTGGTGATCTTCACCCTGCATTACATAAAAAGGGAATCCTCACTAGACATTCATGTCTAACCCTCATTTTCATTTTTAAATATGTGTGCAGATAATATCAGTTATAATGATAGTAAAGGAAAAGGGAAAATGTGAATTATTTCCCTATGTGCTTAGCTCTATATGAAGATCATTTTGGATGTGTTTCAAAGAATAGTTGATATAGATATAAGAGCATGTATTTTGAAATTTTTGAGTTGTGTATTTTGTAATACAAACTCTTGTATTATGGACTTATGTGGGGAAAACATGTATTTCTTTGCATAAGAATTCTATGTTATATGCAATGTTTGGAAGTAGGGGTGTTACAGTATCGAGGAGGATCTAAAATCATTTGGAAGGCTATGAAGTTTCAAGACGTTGCTTTCTGGAAAGAATAAATAATTGATGAGATGGATTCCATCGTGGGTGATAATACTTGGGTATTATCAAACTTGTCAGCGGTTTGTAAACCTTTAGGATGCAAGTGGATCTTTAAAATGAAGATGAAAGATGATGGGCCAAAAGTTGAAAGCTCAATTGGTAATCCAAGGATTTTAAGCAATGGGAAGGCATCGATTACTACGATACATATGTTGTGGTTGCAAGGAATTTCAGAATTAGATTGTTGATAGCCTTGAAAGCTATTCACAATCTAGCGATTCACCAAATGGATGTCAAAACAACATTTTTGAATGGTGACTTGGAGGAGGAAGTTTACATGAAACAACCAGTTTTATGCCCATGATGAAGCATAAGGTGTGTCTTATAAAAATCATTGTATGGGCTGAAACAAGCCCCAAAGATTGGCATCATTGATGAGGTTTTCTTATCCAACGGATTTATGTTAAATCAAGCGGACAAATGCGTATATAGCAAATTTGATACATCCAGTAATAGAGTAATCATTCGCTTGTATGTTGATGACATGTTGATATTTGGCATTGATCAAAACCAAGTTGATAAAACTAAAGAGTTTTTGTCATCAAGCATGAGAACATGGAGATTGCAATTACACAATCTAATTCCATTGAGAAGGTATTAAAGAAACTTAATTATTTTGATTGTTCTTTAGTGAGTACTCTATTTGATCTGAATCTAAAGCTTATGCCCAATTTCTAGTGAAAGGTGTCATAACTTGAGTACTCAAAGGCTCTTAGGTTCCTGATGTATGCCATGACAAGCACTAAGTCGGACATTGTTTTTGCCATAGGAAATTCGAGTAGGTTTACTAGCAATCCTAGTACTCATCATTAGCAGGCGATAAGATTGGTATTTAAATCTTGAAGAAAACTATATGTTATCGTTCGTCACATGTAGGGTTTACTTCGATATTAGAGGGATATTCGAATGCAAGTTGGAATACCAAATTACAAGATCACTCTTCTACGAGTGGTTGGGTATACTTGCTTGGGAGAGGTGCCATCTTATGGGCTTTCACGAAGCAAACTTGTATCAAGAGTTCGGCTATGGAGTTGGAATTTGTGGCATTAGCTACTGCGAGTAAAGATGCGGAGTGGCAAAGGAATTTAGTCCATGAAATTCCATTATGGTCGAAACTAATATCAGCCAATTCTATTTGTTGTAATAGTGCGGCTACTTTGGCTAAAGCTTAGAACCAAATATTAATGGCAAGTCTACACACTGGTGTTAGATATGACATGATTCGTGAGTTAATAACGAATGGGGTGATTTCGGTTCTTTCTGTTCGATCACAACATAATCTAGCGAACCATTTGATGAAGGGGTTGGCTAGGTACTTGGTTAACAAGTCGATTATAGGGATGTGATTAAAGTCCATCTAATATAGTGCCACCCAGGTTTGGAACCCACTCTTTAGAAGTTCATATGCACCCTGTCGGTGGACCATCGCCCCAAAAAAATTCTTATATTTAGCTACATTTTTTCCAAAAGAACATTCATTTCATTTCTTTCTTCCTCGTAAAACACTACATGTGTGATACCCAACTCACTTCTAATACAACACTAGAAGTTGAATTCAATGGGAAAACTCAATTTAGAGATTAGAACACAAACTGCTTATCCCAAGGTATGTGCTCGGTACTACAAGTGCATATATGAGTGTGAAGTGTGGCCGCTTCAAGAAGCTTGGACTGGGCTTTGTATACACTCATGAATGGATGAAGATATATGGCATGTTATAATGTCAAGTTCGAACTCTATAGAGTCATGTAAATTCATGTCTATGTTATTTTCCGGTATTCAAAAGGATTGAAGGATTCACTCCATAGGACACTCGGATTCTCGAGTATCTGAAATATGTAATGTACTAAGATGGAAATTCAATCTTTTAGATATTAATAATTGTTAGTGAATCAAGGGTTGCACTAAAATAGGGGAAGAAACCAAAAGGCCTTTGGCCTAGCGTTATTGTAGTCTTCAGCCTCCTAGGAAGTCAGGAGTTCAAATCTCACCAAATGTGAGAAAGGTGTGTGAGTTTATTTGTTGTATTTGTCGTATATAAATATTATGTACTTTAGGGGGAAAAATGGGGAAAGAATTTTGGTGATTTTAGTAAAGACTTCAGCTAGATAATGGGTCAATTATGTTCAACTAGTTGATGGTTCTCTAGCGTTCAACTTCGTTGATGTTTCACTAGTATTCAGTTTCGCTAAAGGATTGCCATCTGTGTTCAACTCAATCTAGCTGATGATTTGTCAATAATTTGTACTTTGCCTTATCTGTAACCTCACTCCTTATTTCAGCAATAATTTCCATTTAATAGGGAATTATTCTCAGCATTAATATAAGAGCGTTACAACTCTCTAAGTAAGAAAGGGAACAATTTCTGACAAAATCAAGACTCAAAATTGGAGATTATCCTCGAATTCGGAATATCAGTTAAGAAAAACAATCGCGCACACGATTTTAAGTTTTTATCCAAGTTTTCTACTTGCGATTTTCTCATAATACCTACAAATTCCCCAACATATTCCACGCAACCTTATATCACGGTAAGCTACCAACTACCTCAAGTTGAAGGGGAAAAATAATTGATAAAAGGGTAACATATAATACAAAACCGGTAAGCACAAGTCAAAATACATTTGGAAGAAGAAAGGCGATAGGAATTACCAGTGAATATTAGATGAAAGGAAAAACCAGTGAACATTAGATGATAGCAAAATACAAGCAATCCACAAGATCTGGAGATACACCAAACTCTGGAACCTAAGAAGCCAAAACTCGAAAGATATTATGACAATATACACTGTAGCAGCTTTGAAGAAAAAGAGCTAGAAAACCTACAACCAATTTACATATTCATCAACCATGAAAAGTAAAACAATTTTAATGGAACCTATAAAGGAAGATGGATGGGGAATCTTTGCTTTCTAACCTCCAGATGATGAGATAACTCAAACCAAACCAAACCAAACCAAACGAGCCCTGTATATCCCACCCAAATGTGGGGTTAAGGGTATGGTATGTTGTATGCAGACCTGACCTATACCCCAAAGTATAAAGCAGTTGTTTGCATGAAGACCAACCCGGCTCCTGATGATGAGATGATGTGACTAAACCGGACAAATCCAATCAAAGCGAGCTTTGCTTTGTAAAAATGCAGCAGCAGAAAACAAGAATTAGGAGATTCATTTACATACGAAGTTTCTACATGTCATTGTGCTAAGTCATCACTTGCAACACCTACGCTTGATTTGTCAACCAGTCGGACGTTATAGAGTTGATAAACTCTTGCACGATTCTCAGCCCACCATTGCTCTGCTTGTTTCTCACTGAAACGCTTTCGACTGCATTCAAACAGTTGAAGGCACTTCAAATCCTTTTCCATTACAGGCCGCTTTAAGCCATGTATGTGCGAATCAAGATAGCAAAACAAGTATTTTTCTTATGTGGAACACACAATGGGACACTTGGGGGCCGTTTGGGTAAACGGTTACCTGGTAAACACTTACCCGTAAGAGTCAACACTCTTAACTTACTTTATCGGGTAAGATTGTAGTCCATCAAAACGGTATTGTATGCAACCACTTATCCAGTAAGCGCTTACGGATAAAAGCCGTCGCCCTCACTTACCGGGTAAGACTCTCCATCTTTATCATCGCTCTTAAAGGGTAAGATTCTCGGCCCTTACCATGTTCATCCGATAAGCGTTTAATAAACGGCCCCTTAGTTCGAATTGAAATAATCCAGCAATATCTAACATGATATAAGATTTCCTCACTTCGTCCCAAAATAAATATCTATGATGAAAAACACAATTGTAGAAATACGTACTTACTACACTTTTGACTTAAATAAAAGACAATTTACCATTAATAATAGAATGAGCAATGAATTTCTCATCTTATAATTCACAGGTAGAATTGAAAAGTGAACACCTATTTTTGAAAATGGACACTTATTTTGGGACAAACTACAATGAAAATGTGGACACACGGAATAGTAAGTAAAGCCACTATTTCTCATCTCCAAAGTAAAATTAATTAAGACTAGATCCTCCAAATATATGAATAGCAGTTAAGCTGCCAAGTTTCATGGACCATAGCCAAACCTTGTAGCCATTAGGATTAGCACCTTCCTGTTTGAGCTTAAGAAAATTAATTTTATCAGGACAAAATTCAGATACTAGTAGGGGTATAATTCGGTTTTCAACTTTTTCTGAGCAACCCAATAACCGAACTGAATAAGGTTCGGTTTAATTTTTTTTGAGGTATTCGATTTGGTTATCGGAAAATTTGAGTAAGGGTTTTATTTTAATAAGGTTTATCGAACAAAGTTTGTTTGTTTTCTTTCATGAAATTTTGTTTACGAAATTGTTACGATTTTCTTAGGTAAGTTGTGAGAGAGGAAAAGGTTTATGAACGGGTTACAAAATGAATATTATTTGAATTTGAAGAGAGTTTATAGATATAGTTATATATTGACTTACTCGATTTAACCAAAAATGTAAAAAAATAAGCAAAAACAAACCAAATAAGACTACTCTTATTCAATTAACCAAACCGTTTAGCCCGAATTTTGTGGTTTATTCAGTTTTGGTGTTTTTGACACCTCTATAGGTACAGCTCCTCGAGCAATTTCATTAGTTTTAATACTGAAGTCAGGGGAAAACAGAAAGCTAAAATACATACCTGAAGCGGACGCGCTTAAGATCTTTAATACCTCCAGGCAAGGATGTCAGCGTAATATAAACACCAGGTTCATCTTGTTCAACCCATTCATCGTCACCACGAGAGTCACTATCTTTGTTTCTGCTACCATTTCTTGCTGTTGCTTCCGAATGACTTGCTTTGATGTGTCCTGAACTGCGGTTTAAGATGGTGCTTGATCCATTTGACAGTAATTGGGTATTTGAACCACATAAATCAGGTTCCTTATATGATGTCATTTGACCATTAGGCTGATCATTTAACAAGACATCACTGGAAGCAAGATTGGAGCCAAAGGAAGTGAACGAATAAGGTTTGACGTCCCGTGCAGCTCCCACAGGCAGCCTTTCTGCCATGTCTTTCAGCTTTTTTTCATACAAAAGCAGAGAACAAAGGACGTCATAAAGAACTAAGTCCAACAATATAACATTTACCAGTACAGTTATGTGAGCAATGCACCAAAGAACGATCACAACATAGTTCACATATCCAAATTATATTTTGACCACCTTCATTTTCTTGAACAAGAATGCATATAACTAGGGCTGTACTAAATGAGAATGGAAATAATAACTCGACAATACGCAGCAAAAAATGCCAAAAAAAGAACAAAGAGAAAGAAAGATTAAATGGAACATCCCGAAATGTGTGCATATCTTGTTGTATCTGAGATTGACCACAGCCGTTAATAGGGTATGAAGGATATATATTTTATTAACACTAAGACAATGTTTAGGCGTGAATTCCTTGATGCCACATAATTGTACACCTTATACATGCAAGTGCCAGTAGAATACTTGACAGGTTTTTTTCAAGTCGAGACTTATCATAAGATGCAAGTTAATAACTGATAAGCATCCCTCTACATTCTCTCCTTTCAAAAATTACTGGATACTAAAGGAAGGTCAAATTTAAGAGCACATGTCACACTTCAAAGATAAAATAGTAACAGGAAAACAGCAGGCTAATTCCGTGTATTCCACGTGCTATAAGATGTATGATGAGTTGCAAGAGTTGCTCCCATATAATCTCATAGTTTATGGACATTAAGATAAGCTTGTTGTACCCATAGTTGACAGACTCTGATCTCAGTAATCTGTATGTCCCGGCCTCATAGGCAGCATTTCGCTACCCCGTATTGTCCTCTACTATTACCTTGAGATGTTTCAGTTTGAGGTGAAACCCTCCAACTCCAGTCAAGAGAAGCTCTGTTATGAGGAGAGGCCCTAACATATACATACATAAATACAGAAAATCCTTTTTAACTATATAATTCGTGTATAAATCTCTAAAGGTTTTTCATTTCCTTTAAGTTGTTTCAAGTATGGCAAGCTCTTACATGTGCTTTTTACAACATTAAGTCAACAACAATAAAGGGAATATGTGACAATCAGAATGGGTCGAAAGGAAAACCAAGTAAAGCATTGTAGTGCACCACTTGACAAAGTAATTGATGCCTTCGACTGCCAAAAAGGTAAGCTAGAGAGCAGGAAGGAAGATGTTATTTTAATAAAGAGAATTGACACAGATACAAAGGCTAGCATAGTCTGTTGGAAAAATATGTTTGCAGAAATTTGTAAGTGAACTTCATATATTTGGGAACTTTTCATCCATAATATAGGTGCAGTAACTCTTGACTTTGCCAAATCAGGGTGAGATAAAACGATGTCCATATATCGACTTCCATGTGGGATTATTTAAGTCAAATTAAATTGATACTTTTCCAATCAATTAACTCTAATTCACCCTTTGCCCCATCTATGTTGAGCAAGCTTCCCAAAACAAGCTACCTGTTTAATTAGAAACCAAACTGAAGGTTCAGATAGTGATGGGACACCTAGGTTATAGAAATTCTAATCCACATAACCACATTGCAGCAGACTGTTTGGTATCTGAATGTTGTTCTCCCACTTGTAATCACATCTCAGGTATCTTGGTGTGTTTTGACTCGAGGTTTGGTCAAGTGAGTTAGATTGAGATGCAGTAGATGCTATTTCTGAAATGAATTATTTCAGGTGCCAAAATCTCTTTAAAGTGGACAAAAAAAATTAGGAACAAATATGTATGATTCCCAAATTCTAGTTGCTGATAGAACAAGAAATAAAAATTGGTTCGGTATTGTGCAGCACAAGGACTATGTAACAAATGGGACATTCAAACAGTTTAATAACAGTCATCTTACTTGTGCTGTAAGTGACTTGATCACTTCTTTCGCTGCCTTGCATTTTGAACTTTCCTCCCCTGAGATTGCTATAGCCTCCTTCAGCTGTTTAGAAGTTCTTTCCAGCTCAACCTCTTGAAGTTTGGCTTTACGGGTAAGACTTTCAACCTGACATGAAGACCAAACTGAATACAACGACTAAATTTTAACACACATAACATTTATTAACATCAAGTTTTCATCAATAAAAATCAAAATATATTATTTGTCGTCAATCTTGAATTACACTAGTCACACATGGTTGCTGGTAAAAAATGCATTTATCATAAATGTTACTAGTTACACATGTAGCTCACCACACAAATCCTACAGGAGGTATTTCTGTACAGTCTTGGTCCTTCAGGTCATCAAGAATGTCAGTTCTTACCTTCACCAATGGAGAAAATTCTATCTCAGATTATGTAAATGTTGATTACAAGATCTGGTAATTTATAGAAAGAACTAGGGCCACAGAAAATGGGAATATACAAACAAACCTAAAAAGGTCTTGGCTTCCCATTTGAGGTAGGACCTCCCTGTACTCATGTTGCTTCATCCAAACGCTTCTTCTAAAGGGCATCAAGTAAGGATGGGTTTTCCTTGTTAACAATTTATTTATGCTTACCTTATAGTCAGATTTGTCTAACTCTACTTTACTGCATTTACATAATCAAACTCCCATGCATCACATCACTTGAAGATTCTGTTTACCACCATACCACCTATTTAATTTCTTGGGAAATGCATCACCTTGTCACATAGCCCTTACTTTGTCCATGCCTTCTATTCAATGTATTCCAATAATTAGTTAACAACTAAAAACTTGTCCCATCACACTTTTCCCACTAATTGTGTTTTCAGGGATGAAAACAAACCAATTGATTGGCATCAACTATGAGGCTAAGGGACTTGATCGATCAGATGTTTGGACTACTTCAGTGATGCCCACATCAGAGATGCAGATGCTCATTGACGAGGCCTTAATGACATCTATGTGACAACCATGGGCACACCTACCATACCCTAGATTCAGGATCTGCTAGCCAGTAATTATACATCAACTAACCCCAAATATTTGCAATAACATTGAATGTTTGAGTAGAGCCAAATATTTCAATCTTTTATTAATTCGTCTTTTCTTATGTGTTATGGTGTAACTTGTCCATTTCCAGGGCTTTTTTATAAGCTCACATACAACAATTAAATGCTACATAATATGTTTAAAAAAGATAGATACAAATATGATCCATGACAATTAATATACCTGTGCTCTTAGTCTAGTTACTTCGTGGTTGAGGCTATCATTTGTCCTTTTAGCATCATCACCAATGATCTTGGGTGAAGATAGTCCAGCCAAAGTTGGAGTTGGTGTGGTGGAGCGAGGTGGGCTGGGCCGTCTTGAGACTGGAGATGTTGCTCGAGAAACAATTCTCGAACCAGGAACTGAAGCTGAGAAAAACTTTTTGGAAGAACCAAATACCGGATTGAAAGATTTTGATATGTTAAGAGCTCCCCACTGAGAGCTTCCAGTAGGAATAGGCGAGACACGGCTGCTATTGAACTCTAGCTTCTTGTTGCGCTTAGAAGAATGATTTTCAACTGGTCTCAAAGATTCCATTGAAGAAAGCCTAGCAAGCCGAGGACGAGATCGTGAATCCAACCGATCATCTTTATCATTTAACTCATTTAAACCCTGATTTAAACTTCCTCTTCTACTCACAGAAGACTGTGATGAGGCATCAGCTTCAATAGCTTTCTTCAATTTATTAACACAAATATCACAAACACGATAGGGTTTGTTTGGATTTGGTGCCATAGAGGCCCTGAGTGACTTCTTGCTACTGCATGAATGACAAAAAACAAGGCCACAATTGTAACAATTATGGCGCTTTCTTTTGAAATTAAATGGAAGGTGGCATCCAGAACACATGGACTGATCAATTCCTGAGACCCACTTATGAAGGCATATAGCTGCAGTAAAATTTGTACCACAGGCAATGCTTTTAACTTGCTTGTCTTTTAGGGCTTCTACTAGAGTTGGATAGTTTCTATCATCTGTGTCTCCATGACCCAGTCGACCGTTAGCTCCCTTGCCCCAAGTATAAACTTCTGTCCTTGAAGTTAGAACTGCGACATGATGGGCACCACAAGCTATCTCCTCTACAAAACTCTTTGAGAGCTTTCCATCAACACAAGAGGGGAGCTTTCCATCAGCATGAGGATTTCCTAGTTGACCATAAACAGGACTGCCCATTGTGTACACATGACCTGAAGTAGTGAGTGCTAGTGTCATGCTATGTCCACATGCGACTTGACAGAAGTTTGGATCAACCAGTGCAGCAACACAAGTAGGTACTAGTTTAGTTTCCTTGTCCCCGTGTCCTAGTCGACCTTTATCACCATCTCCCCATGTAAATAGCTTTCCTGAAGAACAATTACTGGAACTTGAATTGCCCACCATAACTTCTACAACTGCAGCAGTATGCCAGACGCCACAAGCAGCTCTTACAGTTCGAAGTCCCTTGAGTGACTCCACTTCCCTAGGTCTTGAAACACTTTTTCGATCTCCATGCCCTAAAACACCGAATGTCCCATCACCAAAAGTAAACAGTTTCCCAGCAGAGGTCACTACAGCAGTATGCCAGGGCCCACATGAAATGGATGAAACATGGATACCCTCTAATGGACCATTTACCCTCTTTGGAACCCAATGGCTAACTTCATTCCCATGCCCAAGAATACCAAAATGTCCATCACCCCATGTGTACAGATCACCCGAGAGGGTAACAGCACATGTATGATACTCACCGCATGCTACAAGCTCAATGTTTGTACTGCTAAGGGAATCAATCAATTTTGGATGCAAAACATCAGAATCTATGCCATGGCCAAGTCTACCCCCTAATTCCTCACCCCAAGAGAACATCTCCCCTTGCTTTGTAACTAGCCCGGCATGTCTTCCACCACAAGCAACATTCTGAACATCGAGGACTACTGCAGATTCCAAGGCTTTAGGCAACAAAGAATCCATCTTAGCACCAAAACAACTGCCTGCTTTGTGAGGTCCACCACCCATAACACCATCTCCAGTGATTTCCCCCCAAATAAAAACATCCCCCAACGCATCTCCATCATCATGACCAGAACCATGACTTGATGAGCTAACAGCACTTGATAAGCTAACTCTGAAGGCGTCCACCCCCATTCCCCTCAAATGGCCATGTATACTGTCAGAACCGCCAGATGACAATGAGTGGACAGATCCATTGGCAGCAACCGGAGGAAAGAAACCCTTGGGAGGAACCTTATACAAAATCACATCTGGAAATGACTTGTCCAGACCATTTTTAGGAGGGCTTCCATATGGACTATGAAGGCAGAGCTGATCACCAGTTTCCTGAAAATGCAACATAGCATGACGTTTAACCTTTGTATGTGAAAGCAATTACCTCGAATGCATAGAAACACACATGGAAATGTCTGTACAGGGACAAGAAATCAACATTCATGCAAGAGTGTGTGAATATCGAAATGTATGTACATCCAAACATCACACCAACAGCGGTACCTTCTGTGAGCTATTGCCACTACCGAACGGAGAATGTAAAGGTGAGCTTCTTTGCGTGTATGTCCTGGGACTATTAGCTTCAGATGGGATTTCATCACTCCTTGATTCTGTTCTCCAATTTCTTTGACGGCCACGTGATATTAGTGCCTTAAGGCCACTAAACCATACCTCAGCTTCATCCTTGTCCTTACAGATCTAAGTAAACAAAAACAATTGCAAGAAAATAAACAGCAATTCCCGAAAGCTATTACTCACTGGCAGATATAAGGCCAGCAATAGTACAAAATGTTTAAAAAATCAATTGCACAAAGAGCTGGAAGTCCTACCAGATCCAGAGACCTATCATTGTATATTAGGGAAAACGATTGATACTCCTTCTCAGGCCGTGGATACCTTTGAAAGATTGGCTAGACAACAAAGAGAAATCATGGTAAATATTCATAACAACGAAAAAAACAACTGAATTCATCTTAATACGACAATTTAATAGTAGAACATAAAAATTTCAGATGATAATGCCCTGAACAAAACTGAGGGAACTATAAAATTAAAGGTATCAAGTCAGATAGAACTTAAACCAATAGTGGAGAACTAAGGTTCCGTTTTTAAGCACAAAACACTGAATGCACACGCACACACACACGCACATGCACATATACATATATATACCTTGTGTGTATATTTACCAGAAAGTGATTCAAGTAATTACATTTTTACGGTTGTAACTCCTAAAAGGGTTCTCGGAATTGAACATGAATATTTGAAATTATTTAACATTGTACTAAAGAATGACATATCATCTGATACGCCTTCTCTTTTTTCCTCGGGATAAAAATATGGATTACCTAATCAGTTGAAAGCAAAAATGTAAGTGTCACTGACCACTTTTAGGTTTTAACACTAACCACTACTGACAAAGCCAACTCATTTGATGAGAACTTGATACACTTGATGTTAAGTGCTGATTTGAGTTATATGTACCCTTTAAGTTCTGGATAAGGTCCTCAATGATGTTAGATGTCATATTATGTATTGGTAATCATGGGGCTACTCTAGCCGCATGTTTATGCTATTATATTAGCTGGGAAACAATAGGGGGATAGGTACACATCAGTTCTTGATGTGTCCTTCAACTCGAATAACAATCTCAGTGGCACTCACAATAGAGGAAAGTTTTGGCACTCATGTCAAGTTTAATTTCGGCTTCAACTGATCTTCACTATATAATTATGTATATAGATATTGATAAATCTCACTTACAAATTATACACTAAAAGTGAAAACAAAGCAAAATTCATGAGAAAGATTATTTCCATTCTTCCCCCCAAGTATTCACAAAGCATTGGTTCCTTAATATATGATTTGATATTATAAAGTAACTATAGATTCCCTAATAAAGATTACATGGCATGGATCAAGGTTCTGTTGCCAGCAACCATTAAAAATAGTTTGCAGAAATAAGGAGTCAATGATCTGATTTTCTGACTAGGAGATAAAACTTCTACAATTCCATGTTGTGGCGGCTGGATTTGAGATCACACAATGTGAAAATGGTGGCTGCCATGATTGGTTGGTTGATCTTCCGACCATCTCAATTACACTTGATATGGCCACACTTAGGCCATGTTTGGCAAACATATGCTAGCTTATTTTTTGAGCTTATTGGAAATGCCCCGTTTGGATGAGCAAAAACTAGCTGATAAGCTAGCTTATTGAAATGCTACTCGGAGTAGCGTTTCAATAAGCTCCATAAGCTTTTTGCCACTTCTTCCAAGTATACCGCTGATTAGTATTAATTTTTATTTATGACTATTGATTGTTAATAATTATTATTTAGTATTAATTAATAATAATTTCAAATTATTAATTAATTTTAATTTGTAAATTATTCACTAATACTAATTATTAATTATTTACAATTATTATCAACCATATCAATTATTTTTATAATAATTCTATTATTATCCAATATATTTAGTCGTCAAAAGACAAATACAACAATTGTAAAAATGTTCTTGTAACTTAAATAAAGATTATATTTAAGTAAATATTTGATTTAATAAAACTAAATATATTCAAGTAAATATTTGATTTAACTATTAATTTTTGTTGAGAATTACTAATTAATTAGAGCACCTCCAACAACTATGCTAAAATAGAGAGAAGAGGGATTTTAGCAATTTTTTGCTCCAACAGCTATGCTATCTTATCTTGTATGCTAAAATAGAGAAAATAGGAGAGAGATTGTGAAAATATCTAATAGAGAGAAACTATCATTTTAACACTTTCCAACAATATGAGGTATTTATAATAAATGTTTAGAAGAGAGAAATAATATTATATTAACTGTTTTGAATATTTTAATAATATAGTTAATGTTAGAAATTGCTAAAATAGAACATCAGTTGGAGTTAAATGTAATTTTTTTTAAGATTTTGACTTCTAATACTCTATTTTAGAGAAATTATAGCATAGTTGTTGAAGATTCTCTTAAGATATGTAAGGTTGACCAATTTTGTTTTTATTCATATATATATATATATATATATA